AAATAAATAAATAAATAGTATTTTAATTTTGATGAACTCCAGTTTATCTATTTTTTCTTTTGTTGCTTGTGCTTTTGGTGTCATGTCTAAGAATCCATTGCCAAATCTAAGATCAGATGTTTATTGTTTTCAAAATTTAACTTAACATTTTTTGTGGTATTGGAAATTGAACCCAGGAACATTCTACCTCTTAGCTACATCCCCAGTCTTTTTATTTCTTTATTTTTGAGACAGGGTCTCACCAACTTTCCCTGGCTGACCTCAAACTTGTGATCCTCCTGCCCCAGCCTCCTGAGTAGCTGGGATTAGAGATGTGCACCACCAGGCCTGGCTCACATTTAAATTTTTAAATCCTTTTTGGAATTTACTTTAGCGTAAATATTGAGGTGGGATGATAATATATATGCAACCTGTTACTTGCATGCGTTACTCTAAGGGAATTTGGAAACAGTGCTTTCCAAGTGAATGTCCATGTGTCTGATCTCATACTGTCCCCAGTCTAGGCCCCATGCGAGTCTGTGAAGTGCTTTGTGAAGTCCCAGGGGACAACAGGCAGGGTTCACATGGACTAGTAGTCATCATGTCCATTCATACCAAGTTGCAGAACAAAGAATATGTAATTGAGGTTCTGTGTAGGTCCAAGATCAAGTTTCCCAGATAAGATACATCTCAAAGAATTAGGGTTTTACCCAGTTTAATGTGGATGAATTTGGTGGCTGAGAAGCAGCTCATCTCCAATGGCTATGGGATCAAATATATTCCCAATTGTGGTCCCTTGGAAAAGTGGCAGGCCCCGCACTCAGAAGGGCTTCCTCTGTGTTGCCCCTCTGCAGTCACACTCAATAAATATATCCTTTATCCTGTCCTCCCAATTTTTTCCCTTGATATTAACTAGTTCAACTTTTCTTATTTATTGAATAATCATCATTTCTCCACTGTATCTTAATTTCTTAAATGTGTATTTGGGACAGTAGTCCACTGTATTTTAAAATGAAGCTGGGCTTTGGCGGCACTTGCCTGTGATCTTTGTGACTCCAGAGGTTAAGTCAGGAGGATTGTAAGTTCAAGGCCAGACTGGGAAACTTAATGAGATTGTCTCAAAAAGTGTTGGAGGGGAGCCTGGGGAGGTAGCTCAGTTGTAGAGCATCCCTGGTTCAATCCCTATTACATACATACATACATACATACATACACACACACACAAAAGATTATTTTCTAAAATATTTTAGCTTTATATTTAGAATTATTCTAGTAACTATTATATTGATATTGTATTTTCTAAAGTATTTTATCACAACTTATGCCAAGTAATCTCTCACAACTACTCTATGAAGAAGGCAGATAAGTAGTTGTGGCAGATACAAGTGTCCCTTTCTTTCCCCTCATATATTTTTACTTTTCTCCCATTCATGTTCTCATAATTATTTTACTGTCCCTTCATTCATTTGTAATATTGTTTTGTTTAGAATAGGCTTAATAATGGATTTTAAGCTTGCTTTTGTCTGCCAGGGCTGCTCCCAGCAGTCACCAGGTCCTAACAGTGGTGGTACACCTCAGGGCACTGAACCTTGGAAGCCCAAGGAAATGAGATTCTGATGTTGCTGGGGCAGGATGGTAGCATAGCATGGCGGTCAAGCACACAAGCCTTGGACTCC